CTTCCTTCCAGTTGGGATGCCTTTTATTTCTTTTTCTTGCCTGACTGCTCCAGCTAGAACTTCCAGTAGGATGTTGAATACAAGTGTGAGAGCAGCCACTGTGTTCTTGCTCCTGATCAGTGTTCCACCATTTATGACGGCAGTATGATGTCAGCTGTGAGTTTTTCCTGAACGCCTTTGTGCTGAGGAAGTTTCCTTCTAGTCCCCGTTTTCTGGGTGTTTTTACCATGAACATATGTTAGATTTTGTCACACGTCTTTTCTTCATCAAATGAGCAGGTTTTTTCCCTTCATTCTATTAATGCGGTATATTACATTGGTTAATTTTCTTTTGTTGGTTTGTTACATTCCTTCTCACTTGGTCATGGTGTACAATTTTTTAAAATATGCTGTTTGATTCAGTTTGCTGGTATTTTGACGACAGTAATTTGCATGTGTGTTTATAAGGGATGTTGGTGTATAGTTTTCTTGCCTTGTGACGTTTTGTCTACTCTGGCCTCAGGTTGCCTGCCTGCGGGGACTGGTGGATGGGGACCCCTTGCTCCAGCCTGCAGCCCAGGAGGTGGGTTTTTTCAGCCTGTGCTCCCCTGTGTGTCACCACAATGGCCTTTCTGGCTTCCCTGAGGTCAACCCCTCCCCACCTAGTGACACTCCTCATTCCACCTGTCCCCAAATACGAGCTGACAGGGCCCTGCTCCACCATTTGCCTCTCCCCACATGGAGGTGGGAGTCCAGTCCTGTCGGGGAGGGATGGAAGCAGTTTGGCCAAGGGCTCCTCCCGCCACACTGATTTTTCTGAGGGCAAAGGGCAGCCCGTGGTCAGCTGCAGATCCCCATGGGAGAAGGCACGTGTCCTCTCGCAGGAACCCTAGTCTCTGCGGAAAGCCACCCCAAACGTGGGTGGTGCCTGCAGGGGTCTCCCTGGGATGGCGCTGGGCTCAGGGAAAGGTGGGTTTTCTGTCACTGAGCCTAGGCCCATCCTGTTCCGGGTGCATACTAGGGGGATTCAGGATCTCTGTTATTGGAAACCCAGCCTCCCAGTAGAAGCTCAGAGGTTGGACACTTTCCCATGGGGCTCAGGGACCCCACATAGGACCTAACTTTTGGGGGCTTCCTTTCCAGGATGCCAATTTCTTGGGTTGCCTATGGTCTCTGATCAGGGCCCTTCCCACCTGTGCCTCAGTGGAGGCACCCTGACCCCCACTCTCTCCCACCTGCTCGCAGAGGGGCACTCCTGCATGCCCAGCCCCATATAAGCTGGTACAATAAATAGCAAAATAACAAAAGTATCCTTGGGTGCTATGAAATCCCTGACTGCATTGTTTTTAAACTAGATACAATCTACCTAGCGTTTAAGGGTTCCTACTGTGTATAAACTACAGGTTATAAAGGATTGTAATAAGACCCTTGACTTTTCTTCTTCCGATTAAGAAGGCTCTGCCCCGCCTCACGGGCTGAAGTGGAGGAGGGAGGACAAGGTGAAGACCAGCAGAGTCAGCTCCTCCTCTCTGGTAAAAAGCCGTGAATTCCTCCGTGGTTGGTTCCCATGGTGACCCTGTGCCTTCCCTCTCCCTCTTGCAGGATACACACAACATGGCAACCAGACTGTCCTGTGCCATAAATGGATTCCCTAGGCTTCGCAGGTCGCTTCAGTCGTGGGAATCCTCCCCCTTCAAAGGGGACATGGGCAGCAGACCTCGGGAGGCAATGTGACCCTACCGTATGTGATGACTGTGGTAAGTGCAGGCGCGGCATGCTGTCCTGAGCCCCAGTTGGCCTCCAGCACCAGCCACGTCCAGTCCACCTGGACCTGCAGTTAGCATACACCCAAGGAAAGGGTATGGCCTGGAGAGCTGTGCTGAGATTTGGAATATGAGAAAATATAACAAGCATAATCATTGCCTCTCCCCACCACCACCTCCACCACCACCACACACACCACAAAATCTCCCTGCATTATTTAATCTACATTTATGAGGATATATATTTAAAGAATGATAATCTGGCATCTTAAACATCTTTATGACTGAGGACCCCTTGGAAAGGCACCCTAAGACGGGAACAGGTGTCACTGAAGGGCATTGTGGTGGGTCGGGAGATCTGGGTCCTGACCTGGCCATTGTGCAGCTGTGCACACAGCTCGGTGGGAGACCCGGCAGTGACTCCGGGAAACTGTGGGAGGCTTCCTCTTCAGGGGACCCACGACTCCTGCCTTCGGAAAGCTTATAATCTAATTGGGGAAACTTTCCTTGTGCATGAAATCATAACATATAACAGAGAAGATTTCAGAAGAGAGGAGAGAGAGAAGGAATAATTAAAGGGAAGTGAGTGGCCAACATAATAGTAGGAAATGGTTTTGTGATGCTCCCTTTTTTACTTAGCAGACCTCATTCAACATACAGACCTGCTCCCTCTTCTCTAGGTCCAAGGGCCTTAAAAAACCTGGAACTAGAAAGCAGTAGACTGGAGGCTTCCGCAGACTGTAGGATTCAAGGTGACATTTACAGACCGGCTTTATGAGAGACAACACTGATCCATCTACTCAGAGGCTGGACCAAAGAGCGATTGCCAGGGCTTGTGTAGAAGTCAGTAAGAACTGGAAAAACCCACCACCAAACCAGAGGAGCAGGCCTGTTCAGTCCTTTGAGCTTATAGAGGAAGCAAGAAAGTTGGTACATCTGCTCCAACTGGTGCAAATCCCAGAAGCCTGAGAGTGATAAGTTTGGATATTAGGGGTGGAGGAGCTGGGGTTGGGGATGGGGGATAGAATTAGAGCCACTGTAAAACAACCTGAACAAGCCATCTTCATAAATAATACTAAGTGGCTTCTGGGTGAGACCTGGCAGTGTCTCTAAACATTTCCTCAGGGAAACAGCGACTGAACATGTAATGTGAATAAATAAGGAAAGGAACTGCAGGTTGCCGAGTTCTTCCTTATGGACCCAGTACTTTATTTTACTGCTGTATTATTTCACTATGCACTACAGATGAGCCATTTAGCTGAACTTCTCTCACCGTCTGTGCTGATCTGCCCTCGTGGAAGGCTCACAGGTCAGTTGCTTGAAATATTCTGGGGATCTGCATATTTATTTCCATAGGAGATGAGCTTAATCACTTTGTCCAGCATGTTTGCTCTTGAACTCGTCTACTTCTCTCTGAAACAGAATGCAATATTCTAAGTCAGATTTATACCAGACAGCCTCCAGAATAAGGGCTTGGAAAGTAATGTCACCCACAGTTCAGCCACACTGGAGGGAAAGAAGTCACTTCTCTTCGTGGAGTTTCTGAATCTCTCTCGTCACTTCGGTGTTCCTGAGCGCATTCTCATACACTTGGAGCTGGATGAAGGGCGATGTCAGGGGCGCGGGTGTAGACCTTATCCACGTCTGACACACTCAGAGTCCGCTTCTCCTGAGCCCACTCCAGGGCCTTTTTTATTGTTAAATTCAAGGGACTCAAGCTGTTTTTTTCTGACCTGCTGCATACAGTTCCGGGAGACTGTCAAAATCTGTAGTCACTACTGGGGCTTCATTTTTCATCAGGTAGAGAACTGAATGAAGTAACTGTTTTCCATCTTTGACTTTAACAATACTTCATATAAACAGTTTTTGAAAAGCATGGGTTGAACATTACTAGTACAAGGAGAGAGTCTCTGAACAAGGGCACAGGCAACAGGAACAACATTCTTGTCTTCATGGAGACATTCCTGGAATGTTTTGCTCTCTGCATCATCTGGAAGATCAGTATCAATAGCGGCATCCTGTACGGTCTCACTTAACCTTCTCCAGGACGTCAGGCCTGGAATCTGAGGTGCAGCAATAGCACTAATGCCTGTTCCAAGCACCAGGGTTGCCTTAATTTTCAAGCGCCTAAGTATTACTGTCAGTATTTAGCTAGAAAAGGTGACCAAAGGGAACCAGACATTGGGCTGAAGAAATGGGGGAACATGAGCCTGCTCGCCAGCTAGGAAGCTACAGCTTCACACCCCAGGGTATCACGGCCATGTTCCACCAAAGGGGTCACCAGACCTCCTCCTCGACTCCGCAGGTGCTGGGCTGTGCACTTGAAGTGGGTGAATATTAGGACATGAATTATCTCTCAATAAAGCTGTTTCTTTTAAAAAAGAAAAAGAAAACATAGTGGGATAGCCATGACCAGTGTGGCTTAGTTGGTGGGGCATTGTCCTGCTGAGAGGTCACCAGTTCGGTTCTGGCTGGGGCACACGCCTGGGTGGCGGGTGTGGTGCTGGTTGGGGCTTGGCCGATCAGCGTTTCTCTCTCACATCAATGTTTCTCTCCCTCTCTTTCTCTCTCCCCGCCCCCCCCTCAAAAATAAATAAATAAAATCTTTTTTAAAAAATGCAATGGAATAAAATACATTGGCCATGAAACAGACCCTTGGAAGACTTTGAGAGTTTAAAAAAGTTAAACATACTCTTACCATATCACCCTGCAGTCCCACTTAGGCATTTACTGAAGAAAAATGAAGTAATTGTAAACAATTCTTTATAGTAGTTGTATTCATAACCACCCCAAACCACAAACAACCTAAATGCCTTTACACAGATGGATAAAACCCTGGCCAGTGGCTGTTGGTTGGAGTGTCATCCCGTACACCAAAAGTTGGCGGGTTTGATCTCTGGTCAGGGGCCTGTAGGAGGCAGCCAAGGCAACTGATCAGTATTTCTCTCTCTCCCTCTCTTTCTAAAAATCAATAAGCATATCCTTGGGTGAAGACTTAAAAAATTAAAATAGATAGATCGATAAAATACGGTACATTTACACAAAGAACACTACCATAGGTAAGAAGGAACTATTGATACATGCACTAACTCGGGTAAATTTCAAAAGCATTAATTCAAGTAAAAGAGGCCTACATAAAGTGTTCTTTTTTAAGTCCCAGGAGGATGCATACAATAAGGTAAGGGAACGTGGGGGGATGTCTAGATTGTGATGGTTGTTACATGACTGGAAGAGTTTGTTAAAATTCACGGAACCCTGCTGTGAAAGGGGTAACTTTTATTGTGTACAAAGTGTGATAAGTGAACGAAAAATCCATTCCGTTCCGACTGCGGGAAAGACTCCCATCTGTGTGAATGCAGAGCAGCAGTTTGGAGGCGCAGCCAGGGTGTCCAGCCGTCTTTCGATGTGAGTTCAGCTCGTGTGCGATGTGCAGGGAGGAGCGGGGAAGAGCCAGTGCAATGTGAACAGTGGTCAAGTTAGGCAGGAGCTGTCCGCCGTCTCAGAAAGTGGTCAGCAAAGGAGAACCCGGGACTTCCCCGGGACCAAGACACAGGCACAAATGCAGCAGCTTGAGAGGTGAGGCGGTCACTGCACAGGTGAGGAAGCTGCCATTTTCAGAAGTAACTAAGGAAGGGTGAGCCCAAAGGATACAATCACAAGAAAGACAAATGCCAAGTTTTTAAAATCCAGGTTATGAACTACGGAACAGATTACGGGGGCTCTTTATCCCTCCCCAAGGCTAATAGAAGAGATCTAGTTCCAGCTGTCTTCCCACCAAGAACTGCCTCCATTGCCCCCTTTGCCAGACTGAGGGACATATCGAACGCCAATCAGCAAAGTGCCTGTTGCATCTCAGAATGTGATCAGTAACATGCACGCAAGCTGCTGTTTCACTCGACAGTTGGGTAAAGTGCTTCGTCTGACACAATCCATGGAAGTTTTTACCTGGCACTTTCTGTGTCGCTCACTTTGATAAATAGTACAGTTATTAACATGTTCCATCAAGGGGTCTAAGCACCTGAAAAAGAAGGGTCTGGCCCGAAGATTCTTCCTGGGATCGAGGCAGCTGCTTGTGCCGTGCTGAGATTAAAATCAGTGGCCTTATTAAGGGAGAGTTGTAAGTAATATCGAAGTACTACAGTGGTAGAAAAAAATCAGAGACTTCCCTCTTCTCACATTTTTTGTTAGATGAAAGGAAAAACATGCATTCAAATGAAAATAGTAACCCTTATAGTTGCCATGCTTCTTTGTAGTGTTACAAATGATTTCTCAAAAAAAATCCTTTATATCAGAGCCAGGGGACACCTACCCTGACTGGCCACAGATTCCAGCCGCAGAGGAGGGTGGGGTTCTTGGCCTCCTGCTCCCCAGCTGTGTCGCCACCGTCTGAAGCCCACGGTGCCCTTCACGGCTTCTGTGAGATCGGCCTTCTTCCCATCTAGACACGCTTCTTCCACCTGCCCCTGGCCTTGAGCCAGCTGGCCCAGTGGGGTGATAGCTTCACCCCACTGGGGGCAGAGGGTTGAGTCCTTGAGGAGGGTGAGACTGGTTCGGTTCTAGGTTCTTTATAACACTATCCTCTGTGTTCAAATAACATCTGTTAGGTGGAGCACAGGGCGCTGCACGGGAAGCCCCCCTCCCAGCCCCCTTCCACAACAGACCACGAGAAAAACTGGGTTAGGAAAGCTGATTACTCCCAGGGCCTGGGGGAAGTGCCCTGCGTTCCTCCAGGGGCCACACCCGGAGGTCCAGGCAGAGGGAGAACAGAGGCAGGACTTAGGCTACTTGCCTTTATTAGGGACCCTGGGTAGAATACTTTGGGGTTACCTGGCTGGGGCTGGATTGGTCGATTCAAACCAAAAGATTGGGGTTTTCCTGTATCCCAGTGGGGTCTTAGATCTAAGATGTGCATAAGGCATACAGGCGCTGAGAGGCAGGGAAGACGTGGTTGTAAGTGCCGTTGGTGAAGTGTCGGGAATTTACATTTGCGACTCTGTGGCTGTTATCTTGGGCATGCCATTGGAAGAGGGGCGAGTATCAGTTTTAAGGGCGAACCACGTGGCGGAGCGACATGGACGCGGAGGCAGCAGGACCATGGAGTAGCTTAGCTCAGCTCTCCATACGCTGACACCGGTTTTGCAGGGGTGGGGGGTGAAGGGCGGCCGGCGGCCTGCTGCAGATCCGGCCACGGAGGGTGCGCGGCTCCCACCGGGCCTTCTCTGAGAGCCACCCTGGCTGCGGGCAGCGCCTGCAGGGCTCTCCCTGGCACTGGGCCTGGCTCATGGACACTCAGTTTCCCGTCGCTGTGTGCGGGCCCCTCCCGCTCCGGGGTACGCTGACCGCCCAGGGTTGGGGGATTTCTGTGAGGGAAGCCCACCCTCCGAGAAGCAGGTTCGGAGGCTGGACACATCTCCATGGGGCTGAGGGACCCCGTCGGACCCGACTTTTGAGGGGCTCCTTTGTGGGACGCTGAGCTCTTGGAGTGCCCACGGTTTCCGATTGGAGCGCCTCCTACCGGCGCTGTAGTGGAAGCGCCAACCGCGGCCGAAGGCACCCGGGAGGCGGGGTGCGGCGGCTGTGGGACCCAGCTGGCGGGGTAGGGGCCCCATGGCCGCCACCGTGAGTCCCGCCATCTCCCGCCTGGTCCGAGAAGGGCGTTCCTGCCCTCCCGCCTTTATTGAATCTGGTACAGTAAACAACAAAATAAGAGAAATCTTCAGAACTGCTAAGAAAGCCCCGCTACGCACCTTTGGAACCAGATGAGATCTAACCAGGACGTCATACCTACTATAAGATTCAATTAGCTGAATAATTTGTGGCTGTATTTAGACCTTACTGTTTCAAAAAGGAAAGACGTACCGGACTTGGCTTGCTTTCCGGACAGAACCTGGGAAATATCCAGCGAGGGTGGCCTGGACGGAGGAGAGGATCGCACAGTTTCAGTTTCTCAGCGCCACGGGGAAGTATTCTATCGCTAGCATAATCGGTCCCCACGATGATGATGCCAACTTCCAGCTGGGCACAAGCACACTGCCAACCTCCTACCCCCGCGCCTCCCCCCCTCCCCCGCGCCGCAGTGGGTAGCCCGTGGCAACCAGAACGCCACACCTTGAAGCAGTCCCGCTGGCCGCTGAGACTTGTGGGATATGGCTTATGTAACGGCAGCACCTGAGGCCCCGAAAATGTATAGACAACTTCCTGGCTTTGTGGGGCAGGAATTGGTGAAACGCTTCACCTTCCTTCTTAGCAAAGGTAACAGGTGAGGGGTTGGAGGAAAGTGGGAGGAGAAAGTGGAAAGAAGGGCGTTAATGACCTGGGTCCTAGACCCTGGGAATTTGGCCAGCTGCCCCATTGGTAGGGCCAGCCTAGGACCTGCAGTCAGGGCTGGTGTTAAGGGGAAAGGGTGACAGCCGTGTCTGTGGATTGGAAGGTTTCACATTGTTACCATGGCAGTGCCCCCCTAAATTGCTCTAGGGACTCAACAAAACTACCAGAGTCTCAGCCGACTTCCTTGCAAAATTAAACAAGCTCATCATAAAATATATATGGAAATTTAAGGAACTGAGAGTAGCCGAAACAATATTTAAAAAGAACAACAGCCCAGGCTGGTGTGGGTCGGTGGATTGAGGGCAGACCTCTGAACCAAAGTGTTACTGGTTCGATTCCCTGTCAGGCACATGCCTGGGCTGTGGGTCAGGTCCCCAGTAAGGGATGTGTGAGAGGCAACCGCATATTGATGTTTCTTTCTCCCTCCCTTCCCCTCTGTCTAAAAGAAATAAATAAAATCTTAAAAAAGAACAACAAAGTCAGAGGATTCACACTTCCTGATTTCAAAGCTCACTACAAAGTTACAGAGATTAAGACACAGATATGTAGTCCTGGCATGGGACACACCAATAAATCAATGGGATGGGGCTGAAAGTCCCAAAATGAACCCTCATGTTTATCGACAATTGACTTTTGACAAGGGTGCTGTAACTACTCATGGTCAACAAATTGCCGGGACAACTGGATACTTATATGCATAAAACTGAAGTTGGACCCCTACTTCACACCATGTAGAAAACTCAGAATAGATCTTTAAACTTGGAATGAACCAAAGACCTAAATGTAAGAGCATAAGCTATAAAACTCTTAGAAGAAAACATAGATGTGAATCTCTGGGACCTTGGATTTGGCAATGGTTTCTTAGATATGACACTAAAAGCACAAGTGGTAAAAGAAAAAAATAGATAAACCAGATATCATCAAAATTAAAACTTTTATGTGTCAAAGAACACCATCAAGAAAGTGAAGGAATGATCTACAGAATGGGAGAAAATATTTGCAAATCATATATCTGATAAGGGACACACAACCAGAATATTTTTAGAAATATTACATCCCTGGCTGGTGTGGCTCAGTGGATTGAACATTGGCCTGTGAACCTAAAGGTCACTGGTTCAATTCCTCATCAGGACACTTGCCTGGGTTGTTAGCCAGATTCCCAGTTAGGGGTGTGCCAGAGGCAACAAATTGATATTTCACACATTGATGTTTCTCTCCCTCTCTTTCTCTCTCCCTTCCCCTCTCTCTAAATCTTTAAAAAATATACTTTAAGAAGAAATACTACAAGTAAATAATAAGACCAAATAACACATTAAAAAAGGGCAAAGGATCTGATTGGAAAGAAGATATAAAAATGACCCATAAGCACCTGGGAAGATGTGGAACATCATTAGCATCCAAGGAAATGCAAATCAAAACCACGATGAGTTACCACTTCACACCCTCTAGCATGGCTGTACAACAAACAAAAGATAATACATGTTGGTGAGGATGTGGAAAAGCGAGAACCCTCATACACTGCTGGTGGGAATGTAAAATGGCACAGTCACTGCGGAAAACTGTTACACGTGGGGATGCCACGTGACCCAGCAATTCCACCCTTAGTTATATTCTCAACAGAAATGACATGCACGTCTGTCCTTATGTGCATGCTGGGCTGTGTGCACCCCTCCTGTGCTGCAGGTGAAGGGCTTTATTCTTGGTGGGATATGGTCATCTGCTCGGGGTGGCAGTCGGTCAAGTGCCACATGATGCACATGCTTTAAGCAGAACAAGGAAGGGCGTGTTGAGTCTGACACAAGAAACGTATCCCACACAAACGTGGACCAATGCCCATTATTGCAGCTGATCTTGCTTTGTCCCCTCTGTGTGGAGGTAAAGCATTATTCTATCCAGGGCCCCCTGTGCCATGTGTTTCTTGGTGACTCTAGCACCTACAAATGACAGAGCAGGCTGACATTCTGAGACTGCTCCTCCTGGTGACAGGCATTGCGGTGCTATTTTCAATCCTTCTTGTGGCGGGGGCTGCGGCCCTGGAGGTGGTAACAGAGGTCATTTCCTCTATGTCAGCAAACCACAGGATTCAATATGGTACAGTGATCCCTCACCTGTTGTGGGAGTCCCGTTCCAGAGACCCCTGAGATAGGGGAAAATCCACAAAGTAGCGGTGTTATATTTATGTTATTATTTATATATATTTTAAGGCTTTATAAACCCTTCCCACACTCCTATAAACCTTTCCCACACTCTTGTAAACACTTCATATGCTCTTAAACACTTTCTACACTCTTAGACCTATGTAATTTTAACAACATACAAAATTCTACGTGGGTACTCACCAGTGAAGTATACAGTCGTCCTTTGCTATATCGCGGTTCACTTAAAAAAAAAACAAAAACCCTGATACAGTGAAGCCGTAATAAGTGAACCGTGATATAGCGAGGCACGGCTGTAGTTACAGACCAGCTTTATGAGGGATGGAAGGCAACCCACTCGGGCTGGACTGAAGGTTGGCTTCTAGGGATTGTGTGGCAATCAGCAGTAAGAGGAGAAGTCTGCCACAAAACCAGAGGAGCAGGCCTTTGTGCTTTTAAGGGAGTAAGTGGGAACTATCATGACCTGAGCTTTTCTGTCTCGTTTTTCTGTATGTTGCCTCTAGTAGAACATTTGTATAAGCCATATAAAAGAGTATTAATCATTCCTTATGTACTTTCAGCAATCATATACAGTTGGACTCTATAGAAATCCCAAAGAACAAGTATAACCGTTATTATGACTAATATCATTAACAGAGAAGTAAAGATTCTCCGTCACCAAAGAATATGGCACCGAGTCCAGAGAGAGATTCCCAGACACTGTAGCAACCGCAGCGGCTTCCCCAAGCACAGGCCCTTCTCCGGGGCCCCTCTCTCAGGGGCACCCACTCCAGAGCACACTGCCTTCCTCCGTGGAGCTCCCACAGGCTTCTCTGGGGTCCACTGCTTTGCCACCCTGGGTGCCTTGTGGCTCCTCTCTCTGCCACTCTGGATTCGGGGATCTGAAACCACCGTCACCACACTGGCTATTTTGGAGCTAAAGAGAGTTCAGTCTCTTGGGAGCTTGCTGTAAAACGAAGCAGATGCCAAGGTGGCATCGCTCATTTAACCAGCAAAGGTTTTGTTCAGACTCTCAGTCGGTGTGACCTAATTAAAAAGCTGAAATTAAAAGCAACCACTCATTTTTTTTTCTCCTTTTCCTGAGTTATCTCAACCCTTACCCATTCTTCGAGGATTTTCTGAGAATGACAGCTCAGATGAAGTCAGGATCCACTACCTAAAGCAAGGGGGCTCAGAATTTCAAGTGAAAACCCACCAGATTTACCCAATGAAAAAGTGGGGAGTCGGTGGGACTCAGTGAGCCTTTTGCTTGTACCCGGCACCAGGCCCAGGGCCACAGGGCGGTCCTGGGTGGGCTGCTTCAGAACCCTGCTGACTACACCAAGTAAACGTCAGCATAAGAAACATCCAAACCTGTAGAGAACTTTTATGAGTTTATTTGTCCCAGACTGATGACAATTGCCAGGAAGCAAGATCTCAAATGTTTTGGTGAATGACAATTTTGAAGTTTCTTTTATGCATTTGAAACTAAGAAAGCAATGTAAGATTACATGAAGGTGGGAGAGAGCAAGGCAAGGGCTGAATTACGGAATATTTAACAAGACTGTGTGCCCTCGTGAGAGTGGTTAAGCTTATTTCAGAGGTGTATTAACACAGATGCACAATAGCAATGGACAGGGTTTGCTGAAGGTCAAGGTCAATGTTTCTTTCATACATCGGTGTTTCCCTCTCTTCCTTTCTAAAAAAATAAATAAAATCTTAAAAAATAAAATAAAATAAATAAAAGCAAATCAAACCCAAAACAGAAGGAAGTCATAATGAAGATTAAAGTGGGAATTAATGAAATAAAGATGAAAAAACAATGAAAGAATGCATTCTTTGAAAAGATTTAAAAATCTTTTTTAAAAATTTCTTTTTGAAGATCTAATTTGTTTTTAGAGAGAGGAGACAGTGGGAGAGAGGGAGAGGATAGCAATGTGAGAGAGAAATACTGATCGGTCACCTCTCGTGGGCCTGGACTGGGGACCTGCCAGGAAACCCAGGCATGTGCCCGGACCAGGAATGGAACCAGCAAACTTTTGTTTTGCAGGCCGACGCTCAATCCACTGAGCCACACCAGCCAGGACTAAAGACCCCCCCCCTTTTTTTTTTAAGAGGAGGAAGTCAAAGAACCTATGTCCTAACCCTGTGTCTCAGTGTCTGTGACAGTGTGAAGGGGACCATGAGAAAAAAATGTTTAGAAAAGGTGGGGCAGCAGAATCCTCAGCGCTAAATAAGTTGCTACTATGACCAGAGCCAGGAAGTACAGAAAGACTGTCAGTCAAGGGTGAAAAATCCCATTTCCCCCAGACCCACTTTCTCAACCCAAAATAAAGTCCTGCCTCTGAGTGTGGACATTCACTACAGCCACCACTCCCACAGCTACTTATTTTGGGGGCTTGGGGGGGTTGAGAGTGAGAATGAGGAGTGGGATAACAAGCCTTGCTTATGAAATAACTCTGACATGTTGTATCTCATTTAACCTCCATGGTCGCCCAGGTTAGATAGAGCATTACCCTGCGGGGCCATGGAACCCTGACTTGTACAGATTTTCTTTACTGTACATAATTTAAATTAAAAATAATAATATATTAACTTTTATATCGGAGAAATTGTTGGATATGTATGAAATGAGAACCGAAGTGGA